AGTTTCTCATTCTTGGCTGCAGCTGGATTCTAGGGCTTTTGTATGTTATCAGTATCTGCTGGGAAAACTAGGCTAGTACTATATCTAGTGAATGTTCATAGCTTTATTAAAATTGTAAACCACAAGTGGGGTTTTAAGAAGTATTTAGTTTCAGAAATTTGAGACCTAAAAATTTTCAGGCACTTGTAAATGTAAATTTGCTATCCCAGATGTTTCTCTGAGACCTACTAAAAAATATTAGTGTACTCTTAAAAATCAGTATTCTATTGACTATGGAATAAAGAAGGAGTTTTTTGCTGCGCCCCCTTTTTTTTTTTCCCTTTTTTTTTTCCCTTTTTTTGTTCTCTGCATGAACATGGATTGTGATATGGTCTTTATTGATAACATTTATGAAGACTTTTGGTGTTGAACTGAACTGCTCACATTGAATTCTCTAGATTTGTTTTTTATAACCTCTGACTTCTGTGCTTATAGAATTTGTGATGACCAGATCAGGGTGGGGGTGTGGGAGGGTTGCTTCTGTTGGTTTTGGTCAATAAGATTGTTATTTAAAATCTGCGATTCTAGTAACATAGTACACAGTAACATTGCTCTCCTGTTTTGTGGTCAGGTTGGGTTTGGTGGGGTTTTTTTTATTTTGATTCTTGCTAAACTCTTTCTCAACTTCTAAGAAATACTGCTACAAACCTCTCATGTTTACTTTCAGGTCGCAGCACTGTCTGGGGATGCAAGGCGTTGCCTTGATATCTGCAGAAGGGCCACTGAGATCTGTGAGTTTGCTAGCCACAAGAGAACCCCTGAAATAGTCCGGATGGCCCACGTAACAGAAGCCATAGATGAAATGTTTTCATCGCCATATATAAATGCAATCAGGTAAAAACATCTCGGAGGAATTTCCTTGCTTTCGTGTTTCTTTCACTGCATTATTTTTTTTCAAAACATTCAGTCTGTCCTCACCCCCCTTTGGTAGCGTATGCAACGCATCGTGCTTTGAAGCATGAAACAAACCTTGCAGCACAGCTAGGGGAGAGACGTACAAAATGGGAATTAAAGACAGGGGAAACAAAGGCACAGAAATCACTTGTACAAGTTTATACAGGACATTTCCACGTTAGTAGGTTAGCTCAGATCATGAGGGGGCGTCTGAAATTTCCTGACTGTCCCTGCTTGCTGTACGTTGACTTCCCTGAACAGCAGTTTCCAAGTACACATATTCGAGTTCCTTCTAGCTGGAATGAAATCTGGAAGATACACTCAGGAGCCCACAACTGCAAACACTACTGCTTATTCAGTATACTGGCCCAGACTTCGAGCCAGACTGAAGGAAAGGCCACTCAAACGTGCATAGTGTAGGCACCAGGTCTTCAGGAGTCAGCTATTCCCCTCTACGTATCCACTTGTATTATGCCACTGTCTTTGGCTCCGATGCAGCCACAGATGTCTAGCAGAGTGCAAGACCTTCCCATTTGAGCTGGTTTCTTTCTTTAACATAAGCAGATTCTGTCAGGACTTCCAAAAGGTTTCCTGAGGGAATACATGTGAGGAATTCTGTTGCCCTTCGGTGGTCCACAAAAGCTGTAGCTGGTAAAGTGCTTTACTGATTTCTGGTCAAAAGGATGAGAATCTGTTTCAGCAGAGAAGGGGGGACTAAGCGGTGCTAATACAATATTTTGTTGGATATGTAAGTACTGCTTTTATGGTGCTACTTGGGCCTGAAAACCTCAATGTTAATTCACAAATGTAAGTTGACCATAACACTGCAGAACACATGTATAGAATGAAATGTTGTGTTCGGATACACTGAAAGAGAGGTGAGGTGGAGTGAAATGCAGTGTATTGTAGTGCTTGAGTTGCAGGCTGTAATATAATGGCTAGTTGACATTAACTACCCCTCTTGGGTAGAAAAATACCCTTCATTTAAATATGTGGTTTCCAAGCAATTTCCCTTCGAGACTTGTTCCTGAAGTTTCATAAGTTCTAAACTTCACAGATTGATTTTTGTCTGTTTTGTTTTGATATTCAGGAA